CCTCCTCCTCCTTCTCCTTCTCCCCCCCCTTCCTCCCCTTCCTTCATTCTTCCCCTCTGGCCTGTTCCCTCCCCAGCACTCTAATTTCTTATGGAGGAATTTAAATCTGAAATCCAAGCTTTTCAGTTTGGAAAGCTGCACTTTCCCGTGTTCTTATCTGTGCAACCAAAATGTGTCTCAAGTTTCCAGATCATAAGCTGGGCCATAACCATAGAAGAGCAGCTCGGTGTGGCACAGGAGTTACTAAATGGAACCTGCATCCAGTGAGCTAGACATTGTTTGGATGACATCACCCCTGTGTCAGGATTAGTCAGGCGCAAGCAGCACTCCCAAATCTGGCATGAGGCTCTAGAAGATTCCTTTGAAGGGCCTTTAAGCATCAGCCTTTTCCTCTTCCCACACAGAGTAGTCTCTGTCAAGGACGTTCCTCCCCCTCTTCTGGACAAGACAAAATAAACCTGTAGTTATTTGTGGTCACAACACATAAACAGACACACATGATGATGTAATATGGAAGATTCCAGAACACATTTACTCTGGGTTAACATAGTCTCCAAATTTTGACTGAGATCATAGATCCAACAGTCCTGGGAGGTTTTCAAGTGGCTATCAGTATGGCTTACTTCCATAAGAGGAGTAAATTAAAAAAATTTTAAAGATATATTGTTTGGGTATAGAGATGAAATAAATTTTAAAGTATTGACTTACTGTCTAATAAAATACTGATAAAAAAATCACTGTTCAAGATTTCTATTTACTTGATCATACTTTACAGTGGAATTTTTCTGTGGAAGACTCCCTGCTGTTTTGTTCTGTCTGTCTTTTTCTTGCCTACTTTAGGGTACCTTCCTATACAACAATTTGGGGGATCCACCTTATACACAAAACCTGTTCAACTTGATATCTTTTCTACACAGCAGCTTAGTGGGAGTTTAGGAGATCTCAATCATACTCCCCTATGGGGTGGTAAACATGATAGGTTTGGTTTGTTGTTATTATCATTTGCTTCAATCAAATTATTAATGCTATAGAAAGAAAAATCCTCTGTTAAAAGGAGGGGATAACATAAGCAAGCACCCGAGGAGCACTACTCTCAGTTCTTTCTGTGACAGGACCCTAGCATCCCTCACTTAGGTGCTCGCCACCATGGTTTGGTTTCATGTCCTGCTACAGGGTGCCAGATTTCTATCTGTGTAGACATTCCTGTGGGTGGGATAACAGGTGTAATACTAGGTGCTGTTGTTTTAGGACTCCATTCAAACTGGAGCTGGATCACCAAATGGATGAATCAGAGATGGTTTGGTTTCCACATCTACAGAATGTAACAGTCAAGACTGTTGTAGTTTTCATGGCAGACAATGATAGATAACGCTAAAGCAGGAATTTGGTATAATGGAAATACATTCAATGAATTACAGTTGTTACGTCATTAAACTTTAGATGGTTCCAGGAAGGCATCACCCTAGAAAGGGCTTTGGGTAGAGGCTCAGTCCTTGTCTCAAGGTTCTGTTGAGGCCTGAGCCATCATGACCATCTTTGAAATCCATGGGGATGAAGGCACACCCACACAGCTCTTTTGTTTTTTGAGGCCTGCAGAATATACTCCATCTATGTGGTCTCCCCTCCAGAGCAGTAGGTGGGGTCTCATTTCATAGGACCCACAGCTGGAACAGGAATGGTGGAATGGAAGTAGCAGAGATCTGAGGCTATCAGGTGAAATGAGTTCATGAAGAATGCTCAGGGTCAGTGCCCGGAAGCCATTCTTCCCACTGACTGTTTGGGTCTGTGGTGGGAAGGGCACACCTCAAGGTCTCTGAAATGCTTAAGTCCTCTGGTGTTCAGGTGATCCCTTTGAGCCACGCTAATCTCCTAAGCAAGAGGTTAAATGAAGAAAGAATTTGTTTCTAGCACAGAGTCAGACTGAGGACTTTCCAAATCTTTCTGCTGTCTTTTCCATTTTATTATAAGTTCATCTTTGAGTTGTTTCTTTGTCCTCTCTTTCTTTTTCTTTAAGGCATCAAAAATAACTACACAGAAGCCAGTATGCTTTACTGTTCACAATCTCCCCTTATTACTGTTCTAAAGTTCTGTGCTCCACAAAGTCCGACTGCTTAGATACAGTGCAGGCAATTTTTTTTGAAACTTTATAACAAAATGGACTTTAATCCAATATTTGGTTCCTCAGGTCCATTTGAGATCTCAGCAGAATCTCATTTATTATCTATATTGCTATCTTTTGAGAAGCCCCAGGCTCACACTAGACCCCACAGGATCTCACCATAATCATCTTCAATTCAAAACTGCCCCAGCCTCTACTCATGACCCAGTTCCAAAGACAATATTCAATGAGATTACAGTGAAGTGCACGGAATAGTAAGTTCCCAAAGCTTTACCTGATCATCCCCTACCTTTCCAGAGTTTCTTTGGGGAGAGAAGTAAATAAGAGGAATGAGCAAGAAGAAGAAAAATTGCAAAGAGATGGGGAGACCTGGATTTTAACCAACTCTTCAAAAAAAAAATTTTTTTAGAGGAAGAATGGAGTTTTGTAAATTAAACAAATGGGGAAATCCAAGATTCAAATTTTAAATATGGTCAGATCTTATTCTTCCTTTGTTCTCAGGTGAAATTCTTAACATGATAAGTGGTCTCAGTTGTCCACCTGATGATACCTAGAATCCCCTAGGAGATAGATCTTTGGGCATCCCAGCAAGGGATTATCTCTTTTTTTTCCACATTTTTTGGATATTTTCTTTATTTACATTTCAAATGTTATCCCCTTTCCCAATTCCCCCCAAAAAACCCTTTTCCATGCCCCATCCCCCTGTTTCTATGAGGGTGTTCCCCTATCCACCCACCCATTCCCACATTCCCACCCTCAAATTCCCCTACACAGGGGAATCAAGCCTTCACAAGACCAAGG